ATTTAATTGTATGTATTTTTGTGTTTATTTATGTAGGGTAAAGTAGACAGTTATCGGACACTTTATAGTTATTGGACAATTAACATTAATACTGTAAAAACAAGAGTTCTATAAATAGTTACCTTAAAGTCAAATTATTAGATGACGATCATCAGACGATGTATACAATTATAAATATCTCAGTCGGTAATAATATAGAACTACTTTATTTTGGGTCCAATATATCAGTGAGTGGTATAAATGTGTTCCTCATGGTTTAAAAATTGTCACTTTATTGCGTTTTAATTTTAATTCTTAAAACAAACAGAAAAATGGCTAGTGGCCAATTACTGGTTGGTAAAAAATGTAAATTTCTATTATTGGACATAAGTCCAATAGAATACTCTATTTGTATCCCGGACATTTACCAGCCAATTCTTATGTAAAATTGTCCCCTGAATCCGAAAAGAGATATAGTTAATTCCATATTATATGTAAAATTGATTATATTTTAAAAACTATTCTATTTTTATATTTAAGCGAATAATATTTCATAGGAATTGACTGCTCAATGTCCTAAATACAAATTGCTGTTGACAAGAATTATTAGTGGCTGCTTTTTCGCTATGACATTTTTGACTAATTCATTTTTAGAGGGTAAGTAATATAGGAATTTCTTCGTTACAGGACATCTTGCAGAATAACAGTGATTTAAATACAGTGCATAATAGAGAACATAAAAAACTAATGGCAACAAAATTAATAAATTCGGATAATACTTTTAACATACCGCCCAAAAAAATATTAGATATATATAAATCATCCTGTTCCGGCCTAAAAATTATAAATGCTTCACAAACTAAAGATACCACACTTAATGATATTTGCAACAAACTATTTCAGAAGACAGGCCAAGGAATTAGTAGTTACCTTCAGAATCCAGAAAAGGGATGAGGAATCCGAGAAAGAAATATATGAATTATATGATATTTACAAAAACGAAATAAAAAAATTACCTAAAATAGCAATTTACCTTTAACCATTTATGTTATTTGATGTAAAGTTGTTTTGTTTATATAAAAATTGTATGTCCAATAACTATGGTCCATGTGTCCAATTACTATATAAAATGTCCAATTACTATACTATACTAAAAATTTAAATATTCTTATTTTTAAGTAAACGTAAATAAAGTTTAAACAAAAAACTATCCTTTTTATATATTTATAAGAAAAAAATTAAAATCTTTAAAACAACGGCATATATAAATTTTAAATAAATAATATTCCTCAAGTGACAAATAACTATGTGGTTTATCCTAGGTATATGTTTTTGTTTTTTGTTTAGGAAACTGACTAGTAAAGCAACATTTCCTATTAAAATTCTTTTCCCAATTTCGAACAAATAATTTGACATTGACATAGCATTTTGTTATAAAATCTACAAAATGTCTGTTATAATTACAACTACTTATTCAATTGGTTAACAGATTATATATAGTTGGTTGTAAACTTAACATAAAGTTATTTGGACCTGGATTAACATAAAATATATATATATATATATATATATATATATATAACTATAGTTAATATTTGGTTAAAATTAAAAAATATTTTTTTACTGTGTATCTAAAAATTTCCTTAAATACAATTATCTAAATTTTAATAAAATATCCAACATTTTATCGCTAGGTTTAAAACAATTAATGTTCCAGCACCCTTTTGAATTTTCTGCTAAAGGGTAAAAAACCATTGCTAAGAGCTTACATCACCTTCAATTAAAGGTAATAAAATTATTAGGCAAATTTTTTTTCAAAAAGGGATAAATAAATAAAAATGTTATTTTTATAAACGTCTGAATTTACTTGAATTCTCTGGATTCTTTAATTGATGAAATCAAATGATGGCATTTTTTTAAAATCGACTTAAAAACGAACGAACATAAAAATATTAAAAATGAAGGTAAAATGCTGAAATATTTGTTTTATCAGCAGAGATATCATCATATTATCTAATATTGTAAGTTTTAGATTATTTCTACTATATACGAGGTGTGTTCAGAAAATAACGGGAATTGTTAAATTTCGCGGCTTCGGAGGGTCCGGTTGTCATAAAATTTTATTTATTATGTTGGTATACATGCCCCCGAAGTATGATAAAAACTTTAGCTGTTTTCATTGTTTACTTTGTCTGTGGCAGCCGCTAAGGTTAGACGTGTTTTATGAGCTCGGCGATTTTCGTTCGTTAAAAGAAATGGATCAAAGATAATTTGTTGATATCCAATTTTGCTTAAAAAATTAAATAAATTCTGGGAAATGTTAACAATTGTTTAAAGGCCTATAGTGAGTCTGCTATAAGTAAAACAAGAGTTTACAAGTGGTATAAGAGTTTCCAAAATGGCCGTGAAGACGTTGAAGATGACGAACGCCCCGAAGGCACAAGCACATTAACAACCGATAAAAACATGGAAAAAGTGGAATAAATGGTTATAAACCATCAGAGAAGTGGCTGATGATATTTTTATATCGATTGACTCATCCCATGAAATTTTTTCAAATGTTTTGGGTATGAAACGCGTGGCAGCAAAATTTGTTCCAAAATTGTTAAATTTTGAAAAACATTTTTGGCCAAAAACAATACTGTAATGATGCCCCAGCCTCCATATTCGCCAGACATGCCTCTGTCTGACTTTTTCCTATTCCCAAAAATAAAGAAAACCTTAAAGGGCCGTCGGTTTGCAAGCATAGATGACATTAAAAGCGTATCGCTGAAAGAACTAAAGGCTATCTCAAAGATCGAGTTTTAGAAGTGTTTCGAGTATTGGAAGAAGAGCTGGCACATGTGCATAATATCCAATGGGGACTATTTTGAAGGCGACAACATTAATGTTGACGAATAAATAAATATTTGTTTCAAAAAACGAAAATTCCCGATATTTTCTGAACACGTATGTAGGTAAATGTGGTTCTATTTTATATTACTTATAATAATACCTGATCCGGGGCCGTATGGCCATCTGAACTACCCGGTTTAAGGGGCAGTCATTTTTTGTGCAACTTTTTTTTCTTTACCGTGGCCATTAAAAATAAATAACTACTGCTACTTCTACTGCTTGATTTATTTGTCCGTCAATTTTTGTAACTCTATAATGAGGACAATTATTTTTATTTTGCGTAGATTAAAATTTATTTTAGATAAACTTCTTTTTAAGTGAATAGTCTAAAGCTATAAACGCAAGTACCTACTTAAAGACATTTTGTTCTCAGGATATTTAAATTGTGTTCTAGTTTGTGTTTAAGGTATTTATGCAAATTTTATTGTTTTACAAATTAAATAATTTACCAAAATAAACCAGCTATAAAGCATCGTTTTTAAATTTCAGGGTTTTAAGAATCAACTATGATGTTTTAGAAAATTGGTATATCTAATGATTTAAACTTTAATCCAACTGCTAGGAATGAAGCGGATAGCTTAGCAAAAAATTAAAAGGTTTGATTTTTGGGTATGCTTTGTTTTTCTTATTATTCTTTCATTTGCAAGATGATTTTTTAAATTTGAGAAATTAATAAAAAATAAAAAAGTGGCCGACCATAATTTAGAAATCTTTGTCTCGTGTGACAAACTTTACACTCGAGCGAAATATGCCGTAATCTAAACATGTTACAGAATATACTATTTCTGCAGAAAATTAATAATATGAATATAAATTATACACTCACGTGCAAAATAATCGATCCACACAAATTTTCGATGAATTTCAATAGCAAATAACTTTTTTATTTGATGTCGAATTTAAACGAATATTAAAGAATATTGTAGATAAATTAATGGACAATCGCTCACATTTTAAAAAAATACTAAAAAATAGACGTACGTTTATAATATAAAGGTTTAAACAAAAAGATGTTTTTTACCATAAGTATAAGACACTCTGTACGTAGAGTGGCAAAATCGTATATTGTTCTAAATTAAGTTTTATTTATCAAGTCACATCTATTCTTAACAGTTTTGTTTTTGGTTCACCTCGATATATTTATTTTTGTGGAAAATATGGATTTTTTTAAAAAACATTGCAATTTCCAATATTTTTCCTGTATGAAGAACTAAGGTTGCTATAGTCCATCCATAGCCTATGGAGAATGACAGTGACAGTTTTGTTGAATCATCCCATACTTGGACATGTCATATACAGCTTTCAAAAGCTATCAAATTGTTTTTTGTAAATTAATGTGTTAATTTTGAGGTGTCTTCTTACTTTTAAAAATGTCTCCGACTGATGTTGCCCTTTGTACTTTACTTCTTATGACGTTTAAAACACTTGCCATGTAAAACTGTGACCGTCCATCCTGGATTAAATTAATAGCTCTGACAACATCAGTCGGAGATATATCCATTTTATAAAGTAAGAAGACACCTCAAAATTTAAACATTAATTTGCAAAAAACAATTTGATAGCTTTTGAAAGCCGTGTATGACATGTCCAAGTATGGGATGATTCAACAAAACTGTCACTGTCATTCTCCATAGCCTATGGATGGACCATAGTAACCTTAGTTCTTCATACAGAAAAATATTGGAAATTGCAATGTTTTTTAAAAAAATCCATATTTTCCACAAAAATAAATATATCGAGGTGAACCAAAAACAAAACTCACTCTACAGAGTGTCTTAAACTTATAGTAAAAAACATCTTTTTGTTTAAACCTGTTTATTATAAACGTACGTCTATTTTTTAGTATTTTTTTAAAATGTGAGCGATTGTCCATTAATTTATCTACAATATTCTTTAATATTCGTTTAAAACCGACATCAAATAAAAAAGTTATTTGCGATTGAAATTCATCGAAAATTTGTGTGGATCGATTATTTTGCACGTGAGTGTATATTTGTTAATTTTAGATCGCCGAAGAAGCAAATTTGGATCTATTTTAAGGATTATGTTGACCTAAATTAATTAATAAAATATATACAGTTTGTATGACGTTTTAAGAAACAAAAAATTGAAATGTTGTTTGTTACCTTTTGTGTGACCGGTCGTCTTATCAAGGGCTCGGGAGAAATGTTCATCGACAACAGAAGCGGCGTCGCCTTGGTAATGCGTAAACACAACGCAGTTGGCGGAGACATACTGAGCACGCGAACTACTGCCGTCCTGCGAATCATCATCGTCAACTCCTTGCTGAGGGTCTGTAACAAAAGAATATTTTTACTAATTAATAATTTTTAATAGTATGCTTTATCTACTCCAATTAGTTAGTAACACTATGATAGTTCGATTTACTAACGTTGAGTACGCCCACCTATATTACCCAATTTTGGGCTGCTGATTTTAAAAATGCCACTCATTTTGCTCCAGGACGTCTAGGATTCGAAATAATTTTGTAATAAAATGCTCTGCCCAATTATCTCAAAATGTTAGTTTTTTGTTAATATTTTGATTATTTATTGAATTATTTTGCCTTAAATCTTGGATATTCAGTATATTTATGACGTTTTTTGTTAAAAATATACAGGGACCATACAAAGTCATCGGTAGATAAATGTCAAATAGAAATTTTGTTTGTTCCATTGTAGCCGTAGTATACTATGGTAGTATTTTATAAGGGATATATAATAAAGCACTTTTCTGCAGAGAAGTGCTTTATTAAATACCAAAACTAAAATTATAATGTTTTTTTGGTAAAAAGTATCATTTTTTGAAATTTTTGTGTCGTTTTTTTAATTACTAATTAAATTGAAAAGGCAACAAAGTAAATGGGTTTCGGTATAAGCATTACTCTTCGACTATTATTTGATATGTTTTTATTTACATCATGACTAAAGTCCTCAAAAATTTAATCTTGAATCTTATTTATTAAGTCTTATCAAAATTTAATATCGAATTGAAGTATAAAGGCGCCTTTATCTACTTTATCGTTCAAGCACACTAAAATGCATCTATTAATTATTTACATTTAAAATTTAAACTTTAAATTGTATTTTTACTTGAAAGTGATTTTAAGAACTAAAAATGAAAAAAGGGCAGGAAATGGAAGTGGCAGAGAAAAGAGAAAGGAGACGAACATTTATGTCGTCGTTGTAAATTTGTTTTGTTTTTGTTGCGGTACCTTTACGCCCAAGAAAAACCAACGCAATATTTCATTATAAAATTTTATGAGACATACCTACTACTTTAATTTTGCAGGAATATTAAATGTACATGATACACGACGTTCAATGAAAGATCAAGCATTCAAAAATGCTCTCAAAGTTGACGAGCTTGTAGCATATGGCAGTGTTAAAGCTGTCATTGAAAATGTTCTTCGTTCATATCGGGCCTAAAATTGGCGCCAATTCATTGAAAAAATGCTTGTCGTTTTGCAAAGAATTAGCGTTAATATGTCATGTAAAATACTTTTTCTTTTTTTTTCATCCTGATAAATTTGCCGAACTGATGAACATGAAGAGCGATTTCACCAAGTGCAAATCTAGAGCATTGGTAGATATCTATGGGTATAGCGGAAAGAAGTTGGATTCATTGCTAGGACACATTTGCTGGAATTTGCATCAAAAGATGTACGACGATGATGAGGATTAAGCACAATAATACTATTATATATAATTCAATTCGATATTTTATACGATTTAATAAATTTAAGGAATAAAAAAGCAAAACTTAAGCTTAATTTAGATAAAAAAACTGAAACTTGTTTACTTTGTTGCCCTTTCAATCTACAAAAAGTTTCCAATAACGGTTGTTTTTTACATAAAATACATTAAAATTTTAGTTTTAGTATTTAAAATGTCATATTGTTAAGATAAATATGATCTATTTGTCGTATACCAATTACATTAGTACATTCAAGATAAATTTAAACCAAAATAATAATAAATAATTAAAATATCAACAAAAAACTTACATTTTGAGGTGATTGAGCAGAGCATTTTATTACAAAATTATTTTAAATCCAAGACGTCCTATACTATACTAGAGAAATACTAATGAAATTTTTTAAATCAGATGCCCAAAATTACTTAAACTAAGCTGGAGTACTTAATGTTAGGAAAAAAGGTGTGTAAAACTATCATAGTGTAATTAAATGATTTTTAAATCAATCAATTAATTTTAAATATTATTATAGACGCTTTCTTCCAATTTAAAACCTGATTGGTTTAAATCAGGATACACACACACTGGTATGCTATTTAGTCAAACCAAAATGAGTCGTTTCTGCGCATTACGTCATCTGGATTATTTCTGTCTTGAAAGTTTGAAAGTATTTGAGGTTAATCGCTTTTATTTTTGTGTTTTTCTATGGTTTATTGTGTTTTCACTACATAATTATGTGATTTTAATATTTGTAAACATTGTTATTGTGTATTTGTGCAGTTAAAATGTCAAACTGTGCCGTGGCAACTTGTAAAAACTATGTTCGAGTTACAAAAGGAACAGAAATAAAATATTTTCGTTTTCCAAAGGACAGTAATTTGTCAAAACAGTGGATTTTTACATTAACTTAAAAAATGGTAAGTGTCAATTACATACCTACATTTTTTAATTATAAAATTAGATTTATTAGATATTATTCAATTAAAAAAATAGATTTTTACCAACCAAAGAGGAAGAGTTCTATGAACCAACCGTAGAAAAAATATATATATGGTAAAAATATATTTTTTTAATTGAATAATATCTAATAAATCTAATTTTATAATTACCTTAAGGTACGTATATTAAAATTAAGGGGCTCTCAGTAATTAAACTATTAGTCGCTGCAATCCAATAATTGAGTCCAAATACAATGCAAAAATTAGTCCCAAAGTAGGTTTATTTATCAATTTTCACTTCTTAAAAATATAAACAAGTATATTTATCAAGTTTCACTTCTTAAAAATATAAGCAAGTATATTTATCAAGTTTCACTTCTTAAAAATAACATTTATTCGTACATTAAATTTTAAAATTTAAACGCTGCAATCCACCTGACGTCACACAACATGTCATGCGCAAGAGAATACAAGCGCAAGAGCATACCAGTGTGTGTGTATCCTGGTTTAAATCACAGTGAATATTAAAATCGGCCAATCACTGATGCCTAACAACTTAAATAATGATTTCATTATTCCCGTTGTTAGGCGGGCAATTTATAATGGTTATAATGACATGAGTGAAAAACATTCAATAGGAGTAGATACAATTATATACAATTATACAAGGTGTCCCTAAACTTAGTGGCATACATTTAGGAGCAGATTAAGCAAGTCAAAATAAGAAGAAAATCTAAATGAATATTTTTCCTAATTACGTATGCTTAAAAGTTACAGGGTGATAAAGTGTTACTTATCATACGGGTTTTTTTAATATAACTTCTACTATGGTAGACTTGGAAAGGTGATATTTTGCGAACAGTCAATTACTACACATATTCACACATAATTACAATTGTTTGAGTGAACACAGTGTCGTAGAAACGGGGGTTGCTTTAAGCTTATTGTCCCATACAAACTTTGAGGTTAGGTTTTTTTAACATTTGATGCAATTTATCGATTTAACAGTTCGGCTACCATTAAAAAGGTGTACCTCTCAAACTTCGATAAAATAAACCGTTTCCGAGATATTTGAGATTACAATAATTGTTTTATCGCATTATTTAAAAGGTATATGATAACAAATTTTATTTTTTAATTAAAAAAACTAAAAAGGGCATTCCATGAGCCTCGGGACTTTTTGCCCTGACCGTCAAATTAAAAAATTTTAGTTTTTTCAATTAATTTTTTTTTATCATATAACTTTTACTAAAAGTCTTTTAGTCCTTTAATGCGATATAAAAATTATTGTAATCTCGAATATCTCGAAACGGTTAATTTTATCGAAGTTTGAGAAATAAAATAGTAAAAATTATACTAATAAAATAGTCATTTTCACTTTTAAATAGTTTCTTTTAACTACTTAAATAATTAAAGTTTGACTATTTCTGAAAGTTAAAAATAAGTTTTCTTAGTCGTTTTTATTTCTTGCGGCCAACAACAAACTATTGTTACTGTTAAATGCATGTGGGCTCCACGGTTAAATGGCCCAAAAAAAGAATCATAAAGATCCAAAAATATTGGCTTAAAACAGCAACACAAATAAGATATTCAATTTAAAAATATTATTGGCAACATTTATAGACAAACATAAAACTGTAATTTATAAAACTAGCATAGCACAGCAATTAGATATCTGCTTAAAAAGGCCAGTTGAACTCCATTTCAAAAATTAAGTGTCTCTGTAAACAGGGGATCGTGATCGTAAGGATGCTGCAATGTCACTATAGTATACTTGTACCATGCAGATCTTCCGCAAGGAGGTTTAAGAGGCAGGATTACATATATACGCGCCTTTTACAGTCACCCCATTATGTATATAGCACGATCACAACTTTTTTTAAATTTAAATCTAAAAATTGTGCCTATTTCATTCAGTAGAATATAACAAATAATTATTAGTGAGTGCTTTTGTCAATTTTATGGCACGCGGTTTTAACATTTATTAAATAATTATTTAATTTAAAATGTTATTGGTTTAAAATCAATAACTAAAAATGTTGGGTTTACATTTATAAATTTAAAATATTTTCAACTATCATGTATTTATTAGAAGACAAAATTTACTAACTAACAGTTCACTTCTGTATTAAACAATATTATTTTCTATCAATTTTTAATAAAAATAATTTCCCAAGCATAATTTATTTTGGGCAGAATTTTGTATAGGTATTTATTATTTAAAAATAGTATGGACATATAAAATAAAAACAAATATAAATAATTTTCTACCAAAATAGTTCAAAAAGTTATTTTTTTTAACCTAAAACAATTGATAATCATAAAATATTTTAAATATAAAATGGTTGTTTCGTCTTCGCGAAATATTGAGTTATTGTTTAATTTTTATTAAATTTATTTAAATATCATATCCAGCTTATTGCCCCCAACGCGCATGTTTAATTAACTATTTGACCGCGTGATTGAGGGCGTAAGTGTATTAACAACGAAGAGTTCGAACCGCAAGCATCCCCGCGAAAAACAGTAATCTACCACGCGACATTGTACCCGCTTTAGCCCTCTTTGTGCATCGCACCCGCTTGAAACCATCGCTAACAGCCTAATTGCCAGAAACCAGGGCCCTGAGTCTATAGACTAAAAATTGACCACTCTAAAAATAGACAGCTAGATTGCTAAAGCTACGTTAACACTTTTTAAACAAAAAATTACCACTTTAAACTAAAATTTAAATGAAACAAATATTAAATCTATAATTTACAATAATACAATAAGTGGTAAGTTTTTTTATTTTTTAAATTTAAAATTTTTATGTTGAAAAATAAAACCTGTAGAGCGTGTACGTATATGAAAAAAACTAAGAAAATTTTAGGGTTGGCAATATGTGCTAATAAAATAATTATCAAAACAATTAATTAGTTAGGTAATTGATTTTTATATTTTTTAATAAAAATGATTTTATAAATAGACCCGGAATTAATATAAAAGTTGGATATGTAATGATTTTTATATTACTTGTATTTGCTAGGCTTATGAATCTATCTTTCATTTGATAAATATATTTACGAGTTTATAACAAAATTAGCTTAACCTTAATTTAAAAGTGTAAAATGGTAGGTACTTTAATACATTTTACATGGTCATAAATAAACCATTTTTAAATATGGCACCAGTTTATATTAAAATAATCGTCATCTACGATCAATTTTGACGAGATTGCACTGAGCAAATTCTTCAACATTAATTAGTTAACGAGAAATATGTTCATATGAAAAAGTTGCTCTCAAACTTTAGCCTTGACGGGTTGACTTTAACGAGAACACAATGGCGGCTTTTTCTAAATAAGATTTCAAAGGTACCATGTATGTATCATGGTATATATTTCTCCGTACCATATTATGAAATCATTGAGGAATTACTATAGTATTATATATAATGCATTGATTAAAAAAATCATTGAATCTTTATTAACTTTTAAAACATGTTTAATTGTTTTGTTTAGATATTATACCTACCTACTCATTAACTTTTAAATTGTATTACCCAAATTGATAATAATTAAAATATATAGCCCTTTATATCTGATTTTGGACATATGATATGAAAATAAGAAAATAAATAGTAAAATTTTTCAATTTTCCATTTACTTAAAAACAAATTTTACATTTTTATTTGTTTATTATGTTTTGCCAAAAATAAGCTGTTTTTGTTTGTTTTTTTTTTTATTTCAAGTACCTACTTATATTAAGGCAATCAAGAATAGCTTAAACATTCGCAAGAACTTTTTTGAGTTGATAATATCGATGGTTATTTGACAAAACATCGTAAGCGACAAAACCTAAATTTTACAGGATAGATTTTTTTTGTGTGGGAGCTTTATTTTTAAAGTTATTTATCTGAAAACTGGTGAGGCATTATTTTATTAATGTAGAATTCAAATATTTAAGTAAGATCGAATCCAATCTAAAATTTTCATTAAATTTTGTGGCATATGATATTTTATAAGAACATCTTTAGGAAAATATAAAATTAGTCTTGTCGCTCAAGTTACATTTACGTTACTTTGTGGGATATAGATTTGATGATTACTTTTGTCAAAACATCGTTAGCGACATTTATTTTTTTACTTTTATTATTAAATAAAAAAAAATACAAAAAAATTAGTTTATAAAATATCACCAACGATATTTTGCCAAACAATTTTGGAAAATGAAATTCTACATTCTACAGCTTTCTTTGAAAAAACAGGCGATTTTTATTCACAAACCAGTATCTAACCCATGGAGCTTACACAAGGAGCCCGAACTTAATAGGAGAAATTGACAAAACCTGCCCTCTACAAATTAAGTTTCTTTTTTTACCACCAGCGGCGCTGATTGTTTCGGTACAAATTAAACAATTGTTTCAGAATAAACGGAACACCAGCGCCCTCTTATCTTAGGAAGATTCTTGTTTACATGATGTTTCTTCTTCTTCTTTCAACTAGGGCGGATTTATGGCTTAACCACCACCCTTATGGTCCTGGAAAAATGTCCTTATTAACCAGATACTAGTTTTAACGTCCAATGATTTCAGAAGAACCAAAAACCATTGGACAACGGTTGTCTAACGAGCACGTGGACACAAATAGGTTATGTAACCATAAAATTTATTACTAGCTTTATATAAATTCCTCTTATCCCTTGTAAAAGGACTAATCGAGGAATATTATCGAGCACCAGGAATATTTATATTCCGGGAATCCCATTTTGCCCCCCCCCCCAGGTGAAAAGGTCACCAACTTTTTCATAGAGCAACCACATTCTATGAGATACAAAATAGAACTCCGTTTACATGATGTTCGGACTCCTTGTGTAGGCTCCATGATCTAACCCATGGTACTATGATCTAACCGTTATAAATTTGAGTCAAATTATTTGACGCTATAACAACATACAATTACTACAAAAAACACTTTTAACGAACCACACTACGTAAAAACAAATATAATTAGGATAACTATTAATAATGCAATGAAAAAAAAGGAATTATAAGCTTTTGATCAAATAAAATATTGTTTTAAAACTTGGTAGCAATCACCACGATGCAGGTATACTCACGAATAAACTGTTTAGAGCGGGAATAACGCCTTGATAGATCAAGGCGGGAGCACAATATTATCGTAAGCGACACAATGTTAAATCGCAAACGCCATGTCTCGGAGTTGCTTACGATTATTTGTCGGGCTTACGTTATAAATCGGTAACAAATTAAAAAGAAGAGGCGCTTACAATAATAAAAAGATTCAAACTGACCAATATTAGATTGCAAAATTGTGATAACTATTATGTTAACATGTGCAGCTTATCGTAACTGACACTTTGATAAAATAAAAAGTAATTCAACAAAATTGTTGCTTACGATGTTTTGTCAAATAACCATCGATATATGCCCACAAATGGGAACACAAGCGTAATAATTTATTATTAATAACCAATAAAAGAACAAAATACCTTCGGTGCTACTCCTGCCGTGCAGACTACAATCTTCTTCTTTGCCAGGTCGTAGCGGACTTGTTGGGGAAGCGCCCCCCGTTGAGCTGACGGAACCCCCTGAGCTGTGCGCTGAACCCTGCAGATACAAGGGGTGTGCGTGGGATGCGGTAAGAGATGAATGCGATTCGCCAAGAGTAAGTCCTGCTCCTGTACTACTACTTGATCCGGGTTGGGATAAAGAATGGGCGTCCTGAATTCTTTGAACATTAAACTGAAATAAATAATTTATTTTTATAATCATAAATAAATAAAATAAAAAAAAATAAAATAAATAATTTATTTTTATAATCATAAATAAATAAAAATACCCCGCGAAAGACAAAGCATCAGGATTATAGCCTAATAATCAAGCTAAGTAATTTTTCTAATTGCATGTTTTACCGTATAATCGTTAAATGTTTATATAAGCATTTCACAATGTTGTCAAAAATCTAAGAATTCTTTTTATGTCAAAAAAACTAAATTTAAAAAAAAAAGTAAGAATATCCGTAATTGTTGAATAAACAACCTCATTTTGTCATAGTAGACAAATCATAAACAACCATTGAAAGGGCGTAGGAGTTAATAAACTAAATCAAGCAAGAAGGCAAAATTCACCATAAAAAAGTGTTGTGTTTGAATAAGTAATACTGTATATGCATTTGGGGTCACAGCCATAAATCAAACCCAAAGACGATAAGAACGCAATAGCCAATAACGTAAATAAACCATCTATTAAAGCATACGTTACACGCCTGACTAAGACCGTACTTCAAAAATTAATACGATACCAAAGATTAAATATACTCTTGTATATTTAATCTTTGTCGATACACCACAGGGCCGGCTCTATCTATCTATCTATTTCGTGAATTAATTTATTTTTAGGTTGGATTTGGAATAAAGTAAGAAGGCAAAGATACATAATAAATATAATAAACGGTAATCACTAATTTAACAACAAAATAAATAGTTCACCAACAAGGGCAGCGTACTGACACCCCGGCTCAAAATAGAAGAACAGCACAGAAGAAAAGAAGAATGATCCTATCAATAGTCAATGCAGACCATTTGGTGGCATTCCACCACAAACACTACAGGGCCGGTTATCTATTTTGTATATTAATATTTATTTTTAAATTAAATTTGAAAAAAAAAAGTAAGAATGCAAAGACATAAATTAAACGAAAACGGTATCACTAACACTAATTTAGCAATAAAATAAATAAAGAATATACAAGGTTGGTAGCCGGAGTAAGAAAAAAAACTAACATACCCACCCCCCATTCACGAATACCAATTGAATGGGGTTACTACTAAGGCCTAGGTTCAGGAGGATTCCGGATTGTACTTAGTTTTGGGTCAGTTCAATGTCCTCCAAAAACCCTTCCTAAACTGGACGTATGGCCCGACCCGGCTGACAAAAATCCCGGGAGCTGCCTTAACCTTTGACACTGTCATCCACGAACTCCTAGGGTGGATCTACCAGCCGGCGTAAAAACTTCGGATCCAACAAACACAGGTAATGCTGTGATTTGGCGGGATACGCAGGAGAACGGAAAGGGGGTAATATAACCCCGGGAGATCAGTGGATGACAATATATCTGGGGCTTGCCATACGTTCCCATACTCATACTCATACTCATACTCATACTCATAAATAAATAAAAACATTAATGATGGAAGATAATATTCAGCTTGTCGTAGTTTGTATTTTTTTAGCACTCAAACAATGTTAATAATAATAATAATTATACGATATTAAATCTTTTATGTATACATAAAAAAATTAATACCTATAGGTACACCTAACCTATCTAATGTTTTCACTGCAGCAATTAAAGCCCATAGGGAGGAGAAGGCAAAACGGGAACGCTAATGAAATTACTAAAACTTTTGAGTATATTCCAAAACTAAAATAATTTTCTTAGAACATTACATGTTACTTTGTAGAACGAACTCATAATAATAATAATTTATTTGGCCAACAGAAAATACATTTTCAATAAAAGGACAAAATAATAAATGTAAAGGTTATATCAAAACATTTCTTTAGCAACAGCTAATATACAAGATAAATTAGAAAAAACATATCACATGCATGGCTTATCTGGTTATAGTTATTAGATATAACATGCACAGGTGAGTTAGCTAATATTACAGTACGAGCATTATCGCAGTATAAAATATAGTTATAACATTAATTTAGTCTAGGAACATATAGATTAAACATTAATAAAATATTACAGCAGTCAATTTCAATTGTGAAATATTTTGTATAAGAATTTTAAACCAGAACAAACTCTTCTAAACTGAAGTGAATCAACATAAAATTGATCAAGCAGTAACTGATGTTCAATACCTCTGGTTGGGTAGACATTATCTAGCCTGAATGATAATAGTTTTAAAAATTTACGTTGAACATTCTCAATCATTATAACTGAGTTATTAGTGCGGAGACCAAATTATGGAGCAATATTCAATTTTAGATCTTATCAAGCAAAAATATAAAGATTTTATTGCTGTTTCATTTTTAAATCCTCGAGAGTTCCTGCTTATAAAGCCCAATACTTTAAATGCCTGGGAAACTAAATTTTGTATATGAGTAGGGAATCACAATTTATTGTCAAAGTAGACACCGAGATTATTAATACCATCACAAGAAGAAAGAACATTATGGTTTAAGGAGTATTGAAAAACTGTTGGATATTTCCTTAATGAAAAGCTTGTTTAATTTACACCATTGATGTACTACATTCAACTGATTCTGCAGCTCTAAACAATCATCAACATTTGATATTTTGGAAAATAACTTTAAATCATCTGCAAACAATAGATGTTTACATGTTAGAGAAATTGATAAATCGTTTATGTTTATATTAAACAACAACGGACCCAAGTTTGATCCTTGAGGTACGCCTGATGTAATAACAAAAGAATTGGACTTAAAGCCATTAAAACATAAAGTTGACGGTCAACTAGGAGTTCACTCAGACCAATAGACTTAAGTTTAACAAGCAAAATATTACGGTCAACCTTGTCGAAGGCCTTCGAGAAGTCAGTATACATCACATCCACTTGGCCCTTTTAGTCCAATACATTGGAAACATATTGAGTTAAATCAAACAGATTAGTAACAGTAGACCTTTTATGTATGAAACCATGTTGATAAGGTTCTCAAAAACCTTGGACAAGTTTGACAGAATTGCAATTGGTCTATAATTACCAATGTCATGTCAATTACCAGTTTGAAAAATCGGAGTAATACGGGTTACTTTCCATTTTTCAGGAAATTTCCCTTAAAATGATGTTAAATATAGTAGGAAGGGGTGAAGTTAACAAATGTTGACAATCCTTAATAAAGAAACTCATAAACAAAACAAAAATAAACTACAAAAAAATATATGTGTATGAAGTGCGTTTGGTCAACATTGCCCGCATTTGAAGGCAAAATGGCACCACTTTAAATACTAGACTGTAAAATACAGGCTGACCCATTATAAAGGTGTTGTATTTGGACTTACGCATTTTTAATAGGCTTAGGCCGGCGCCACACAATCGGATATTTGGCAAATACGTGTATTGGCCTGAATTTTTGTAATTGTTTATTTGTTGACAAACTGAACTGTACACATATTGGCCAAATATGTGGATTGGTCAATGATCTGGGTATTCGGCGCCTTTGATTTGTGTTAATTTACCGACCTCGAGCGGCAAATATTTGTATCTCCCGCAAATTTAAATATTCATCGCCTTTGTGCGAATAGTTGTCCATCCACATATTCAGGTATTTGCCAAATACACAAATATTCCAATGTGTGGCACCGGCTTAAAGAAATCGAAAGTAATCAAAAAAACTTTGATATTTTTATTAAATAACACAGTGCAGCATTTTACAATAATTAAACAAAGGAGGTTTTTATTTCACGCACATATTTTTTACAAATCGGTTCTTTTAGACAAAAATATAATAAAACATATTGAATGATAACACTGGTCAATTTTGCCACATGGTGGGCAATAACTTTTGCAGGGTAATTTTGGTGCGCTGATTTCAAAAATGACATCATTTTGCTTAATTACCTCTTTTCAAGATATTGCAAAAAACAGTATTTTTTAACTCGCAAACATTCGTGTATATATTTTGTTACTCAAGTAATTTTACACATCATGAGTAATCTATACCCAAGTAGCATTATAGTGACGAAAACTGATATCACCAATTTAAATGAGTGGCAATAACGTTTAAATAACTAAATCTACCACGATACAGTTAAAATATCTCCATATTATATTAGCATAGTTGTAATGTGATTTGCACCAGCAGAATATACTTTATATATAAAGTATATTAAAACTATAGTTTTATAAATTTTTGGTGTATTAGTCTGGTATCTGAAATTTTATGACCACTTTTGACACCACCTTAAAATTGTCTAAACTTTAGAGTGGATTATGAATAGTAACTGTAACCAAATCACTTAAGTGTTACTTTGAAGTGGTAGTGGCAGTAAATTGGTATATCAGTTTTGGTAACTTTTTCCAAATCTTGAATGTGGCAAAACTTAAATATATATTTGCGGTGGTGATTGCCACGTTCTTTACATGCTTAAGTGATTTCCACATTTCGTATAAAATTAAATTTACAAATTTAACACGTTAATACCTATTTATTGGTTTCAGGTGACCAAAAATAATAAAAAAATTATTTTAGGCCTCTAGATAAATAATTTTTATATCCGCTTGGTTTATAGATTTTTTTATTCTTTTTTATTACCACATATTTCAACAGGGCATGCTTATATTTCAAGCTATGATACCCATGTTTAACAGTAAAATTTAATTCGTGTTAATTTTATGTCTTCGGATTATTTTAATTCTAGTTATTATTTGCAAGTTGTACTCTTACAATATTATAATTCAGTGTTCAGTGTTCAGTTTAATATCCAGTCAGAGATAGCAAAGATAATAAGATAAATAATATGCTGGAAAGAGACGGGGATAGAAAGTAAAGATTAGTAAAGTTATGATTAAGTTTTGGCCACTATACCCTTTAGGCAAAATTGGACTGTGCTGTAACGTGAACAATTTTATAAAATTTACAAAAAAATTTAGCTTTATTTTAGATATCTACTTTATTGCAATCAAAATAAAATTGGTGAAAATTTCAAATCAATTAAACTAAAATTGGCACTTAAAACAACACTGTAATGTTCATGTAGTCCTAGAGAA